AGTCCATGTTTGGCACTTCTTTCAAAAATCTGTTTTTTCTCAAAACGATTTGCCGGATTTGGACTCTTTGGTTCAGACTTAGAACCGTGACAAATTTGAGAGTCCTGAGCTGTAGTGACCCCAATATGAACAGAACGGGACTTACACTCCCGGGGCGTTCGGGGACGTCTACAACAAGGTTTAAGCTCTGAAGTTTGAAAATCAAAGCCTTCTGTAGAAGAAATTGAACGATTGTACAGCGTAATAATTCATCATCGAGTGTTCAATATGAGGTGTCTAAGTCTTAAAGACGATAAAAAAATGGGGTGTCTACAAAATGTCACATCAATTTTATGGCCTTTTATAAAATAATTATACAAGAAATTGTTTTAGTGACATTTATCAACAGATGCCACTAAACTTTAGTAGCAATGCCATTTTTTAAAAGATGTCACTGAATTAGGTAGGTGCAAGTTACTTTTTATGGCATTAGGTGAAAAGTGTCATAAACAAACATTTTATAGCATTTTGAGAAATGCCACAAAGCCAAAAACTTTTGAAGTTATCTAATAGCATTTTTTGAAAAACCAAAAAATGCCAATATATTTTCAAAATTTTTAAAATGCACAAATAAATTAAAAAAAAATTAAACTCAATATATCATGTTTTTTTAATTGTACTTGCCACATGTACAAAATTGATCAACGACTTTATGTGACTTAATAGGAAAAATAAAATTTCAAATTACTCTCTTATACAATGATAAAGTTTCTTAAATTTTAGTCTCTGTAGTTTCAATTAACTCGATTTTGACTCTGAATTTACTAATTTATCTCAATTTATTTCAATTGCTTATAATTGTTGAGTAAATTACATCAATAATCCTTACATTTTGTTGTTTCATATAGTTTTAATTGACTCAATTTTGACACTTAATTTTAGATTTTACGTCAATTTAGTCGAATTGATAACATCTTTAGAGTCTTTGATAGAAAATTTTCGTTGGATTGGTTAAAGTTAAGTCACTGAATTAACAAAGTATTTTGTTTTACTCCTAAAATGATGACTGGTTGCATTTGCTATCAATTGGATCAATTTGAGACAAAATAAAAAATTCAAGGTTAAAATTGATTCAATTGAAATTACAAAGACTAAAATGACATAATAGCCAAAATAGAGGGACTAATAGTGTAATTAGCCCTAATTGTTAGCATTTTTTAATGGCAAATAGGCATACAAGTGACATATGTCATTCTTTTAGAGGTAAAATAATAAATTTTCTTAACTCGTTGAGTTAACCTCAACAAATTTAGTGATCATTTTTCATCAAAAACACTAACGGTATTATTAATTGAACCAAATTGACACAAAATTAAAAATTACAGATTATAATTGATTTAATTAAAAATATAAGGACCAAAATTAATATTTATTTATTTTTATTTAAAATATGAACAAACTTAATCCATATGATTCATCTGGTCTCATTCTCCACCCTTTTTTTTATTTTTTATTTTTTTTATTTTTATATTTTATATTATATCTTAATTATATTATATTTTATTTTAATTTATACATAAATCTAATTTTAGGTTTGGAAAAAATAGGAGGTAAAATTGTCTTTTTATTATATTAATTTCACTTTATTTTCTTAGAAAATCAACTCACTCTAAAAAATAGGATGTGATATACATTTTGTTAATTAATTTAATATGGTATTTAATTAATTTAATGTGCTATTTTTTTATATATAAAAAAAAGTGTTTTATATATTGATAAAATATATATCATATTTATATATGTTGTATTTGTATAATATAATAGTTATTAGGTTATATAATTGTGATTAGGTTGTAATAGGGTTGTCATTAGGAAAACGAAAAGAAAAAAAAAAGAAAAAAAAATCAAAACCAGCGAGTAGCAGATGAGAGAGAAAGAGAGATGGCGGGAGAGAGAGGAGAGGAAAAACAAGGGTTAGGGTTTTATTTTGGTGGTTTCATTAATTCTCCAAGCATTTCTTTGATTTTCAAATAATAATTGTGCGTGCAAAACCCACTTCTCTTAATTTATGTTTATTTTGTTATTTTTATTTATTTATTTGATGTTGGTTTGATATTGTATTGGCATAAAGATGATGGATTGATTTCAATTATTTTGGTTAGTTGTGTATACAACGTTTAGGGTTTTTATATATATTTATTTTATGGTTGTAATCACACTCATGGATATATGAAATTAAAATAAACTAGGAACCTATAGATAAATTCCAAATATTTCACCATGACTCCAGGAATTGTTGTTTTATTTGAGTGCTGGTAAGAAAAAGTGTATTAAAAAATTTTTGTTGTGTTTTCATGCCATCCTTATCTATCATCTACACCACAAATATGCTGTGTTTTCATCTTCTACAATCAGAGTTCATTAGGTATTCTTTTTCTCTTTCTCACTCTTATCAAACACACACAATACCCTTTTTGTCACTTATTTATGATCTTCTTGTTTTAGGTATAAAATTTGATATAATCTGTAAAATCTAATCTTTTAACTCATGAATTTATTAATTTTCATCTTTTGATATAAATGGTTAGTTGTGATTTACTATTATTGTATTTATGTTGTGATTTTATATAATGTCTTGCGAGTGTTTATTTAAATGCTTCGGTGGGATTTTGCATTGTTTTGCTCTGTTTTTATTTTAATATTTTTTTTTACCCTTTTTCTATTTGTAAGGATAAATAAGATGATAAAATAATACTAATCTCTTTTCACACCACCACTTCAAGAAAGATTCTAAAGCCCCATCTATGTTTATTTATTTTTTTATTATTTTTTATTTATTTATTTATTATTATTATTATTTTTTTTGCATTCGTAAACATGGTATTTCTAAAAGTCCCAATTAAGTAATTAAATCATGTGGCTTGCTTATCTACTAGAGAAATGCATATCACTTTCAGTTGTGATCATCTTCACTCTAGCACTTTGTACTAGTTTATTTTTTAAATATTATTTATTAATTGTAAATATGTAATTACTTAAGTAGTTAAATCTTGATTTATAGGTAGGAGATATAATTGTTCTAAAAAGTATCATTAGACCAATAGAAACAGTTGCAATTAGAGTACTTAAAAGCATATAACCCATCTAAAGAAGTAGAGGAAAAAGAACTAGGACGTGACTATTGGGAGGTACATGTTCAAGTGCCAGTCAAATCTAATAAGAGTTTGATCTGATCATATGGAGTTGTCAAAACAATTGGACAAGCTATTGGAGCTCATGCTTTTTGGTCTACTCCATTTGCGGTATATTTCTTTCGTAAATACTAATTTCATTAATAAATTTATATTAACTTAATATAGTTTCAATTACCTTTGTATGCTTATTTTTTGAATGCAGATTTTGCAAGTTATGGATGCTAGCCGAGAATATTTATATAAGTGAGGTTTAGAATTTGGGAACTGAATTTGTTTTGATAATTTGTCTCCCGGGAAGATGAATACCGCTATGGCTTTTCAGAACTTATGGTTGGAATAATTTTCTTTTAATTTTTTTTTTGCTTTAACTTTGTTAGTGTGGTAGAATATTTTATAATTTTAATTATAATTTGTATTGCAATATAAATAAATTTATATTTTTAGATTAAAAAAAATGATTGTGGTTTGAATTTTTGTTTTTGTTTTTGATGTGATGATCTTATGGTGGTAATATTTATTTATTATTATAAAAATATTACAGGATGAATGGATGTCAAATTAATATAGGATGTGGCAATTAATAATCAATTTTTTATAAAATCGATTCAATTTTTACAGGCATTTACGCATGTTTAGTTGTGAGTTTTAAAAGTGTCAATGAAAAGAACATATAAGTAGCATTTTGTAGAAGTGGTAGTAGCTTTGCAAAGTGTCACTAAAATAAGCTCCAATGGCACAAATGAAATGGATTTAGTGGCATTTATGAAGTTGGTAAAAATATCAATTGTGGTATAACAAACGCCATTAAAAATCCATATAGTGGCATTTTTTAGATTATAAGTTTTCTTTAATGGTACTTGATAGCGTTACGAATAGTGTCTACCATGACATTAAAGTGTCACTGAAAGTCTATAGCCTTGATGGTGTAATGGCACTTAAAAGTGTCACTAAATCTTTTTTTAATAGCGCTTGATAGTGTTACAAATAGTGTCTATCATGACATCAAAGTGTTATTGAAAGTTTTTAACCATGATGGTGTAATGGCACTTGCAAGTGTCACTGAGATGCCACTAGTATCTACCGTGGCACAGGTATAAATGGCACTTGTTTAAAATGCCACAAGATTGAAAAATGTTATTAGAAGAATAGTTTTGTGCACTTTCAAATGTCACTAAACTAAGAAAATGTTGTAGTGCATTATGTTCCTTTATAAATAATCATAAATGTTGAACAATTATTGTTTGAAGGACACACGACAACAAAATGCACTTTTGGTGACCAAATTTGGTGACTAAAAAAAATTTAGTTGCCAAAACTTGTGGAATTGGCGATCAAAAATTTTTTTAGTCAGCAAAAGTACAATATTTAGTTACTAATTTTTTTAGTTAGGAAATATTGATTATTGGCGACTAAAAAATGTTTTAGTCGCTGTATAGATAGTTTTGGCTACTAAAATTTTTTAGTCGCCGAATGAAAAACAAAAATTTACTTTTAGACTTTTGGTGGCCAAAAGTTTGGTCGCCAAAATTTTATTTTTAGCGACTAAAAAATATTATAGTCGCCAAAGAATTAAAATATTTGGAGGGAAAAGTTTGAATTTTGGAGGGATTTATAAAATTAATTGGCGACCAAAACATTTCGTCGCCAAATTACTACTTTTAGCGACTAAAACAATTTTAGTCGACAATAGTATATAATTTAGGCTAAAATAATATTTAGTCAGATTTTTCGCACCCTTTTTAGTGACCAAAATAATATTTAGTAGTCAAATGGCATGAAATTATTTACTCATTATATACATTTCCCGACAAATAAATCATTTAGTCATGGAAGCTCAAAATTTTATAGAGGGAGTAATTTCAGATTCGCGCCTCTGTTTCACACATTTACCCTCTCTGTGTATACACCACAACCACAGAACCTCTCTCTCAGCAAACCTCACCACCGCAAATCAACAAACCTCACGGCGATCAAACCTCACGACCGCGCATCCTCACACCGTCGGTCCCCGTATGTTGCAAATTAGCACCGCCACTGCCGCTAACAGGTTCGCTCTCTTACTCTCTTTCGCTTTGTTGCTCTCTCGCTCTGACTTTCTCTCTCTCTCTCTCCACCCCTTCTTCTATTTCCCCAACTGTGAGCTTTTGCTCTAGGGTTGTTTATTCTACCCATTCAGTTTAATTTTGTCCTCATTTCTGAAATAGGTTTGTTTGAAGTGGTTTCATTAACTGGATTATGACTCCCATTCGATGGAGTTCAAATAAGAAAAGAAAAAATAGAAGAAGAAAAGAAAAAGCAAAGGGAGTGGTCTGATTTTTGTTCCATTGTGTTTGCTTGATGGGAAATTGTCTTTGCTTCTCTGTTTTTGAGTTTGGTTTGTGCTGATACATGTGTGGTTTGCTGTGAATTTCTGCTGCCTGTTGCACGTTCTGCTCACCAACTGTTTGATGCAATGCCTAAATGAAAAATTCACCCACTCATGTAGACACAGATATAACTCATCACTTCTATCATAATTAGTTCTTGTCTTAATTGTCTACCTATCCTTGGCTTTGCTTCCTGTGCAAAATGGCTAAGATTCTTCTCAAACTGGTGTAGTTGTCTACTTATCCTTGTCTCTGTTGTCTACACATCTAACTCACTTTTTATACCCATTGTGAAGCTCTTTTCTTTTTTTTTTTTCTTTTTCCCTTGCATTTTTTAGTTACTTTATCTAGACCATTTATGTTATGATATGAACTGATTCCATTACCCCTCAGATTTTTCTTAAAGTGGATTAATATTATTCTAACTATCACGCAACTGCATGATATCAAACATCCCTCTTCAAAACAATCCTTTCAATAATTAATTTTTTAACTTTCCCTTTTCTTTAGCACTACATGCTTTAAGCTTGAAGAATATCATACTGCCAAGGCAGCACTAGAAAAGGGTACTTATTTAGCACAAAATGATTCATGATTTACCAAACTGATTACAGAGTGTGATGAAAGTATTGCAAGTATGTACATGCCTATACCTATATGTCGTGTTACTTCTATGTTGAATAACAGAACAAGCCTTTAACGGTTTTTATAGGTCAGTTTTATTTTTTATTTTTAAATTATTTTTTTGATATGCATTAGAAGTGTAGGTTTTTTTTTTTTTCATCTGTTGTTTCAATTGCTACCTTTATCATTAGACTATTGTTAATGCTAGCAGCTACTGCCATTGTGATGGCAGTACTATCTTTGCTTCTGTTGTTGTCGGCACCCATGCCATCATTTATTTTCCTCGATTGCTGTTAATTTGTTGTAACCAAGATTAGTCTATTAGATTGTTTTTTTATGCTAGATGGAGTATTCTACTTCTGGAGATAATTGTCCCAGCTCTATACAGTTTTTTGACAATGATTACTTGAACAAGCCTTCATACTATCAGAAACCAAAAGAAGTGGTAGTGACAATATTTGCAAAGGGTGTACTAGAAAAAAAATGTCTATGTCCAAGAAATGCAGAGAAAACACTACCAGTTTTGATTGATTTGTTTATTGTCTAGACATGAGAAGGAGGCTTAATAGTCAAATATATATAATAATAAATAAACAAATAAAAGGTAAAGTTGAATTTATTTATTTTTCTTTGAAAAGTTAAAGTTGATTCATATAGTCTGGTCATCGCAGAACTATGATTCTATATAGATTTTGGAAAAATTAAAGTAACTGAATCAATAATTTTTTTTAAGTTATGGTTTTCTTTTTAATTAGGTCCCATATATGTGTATATATATGTATATCATTTTCTAAGGAAAATTGATGGTCTAATTTAATGAAGAAAAACTGATTTCATGTTTGTTTAGATAAGTTCATGATATGGGAAGATGGGTTAGATTTAGATATAGGTTGGGGTTTTGTCCATTTGAAGGTGAAATTGTTAATATAAATTTCATAGCTTGTTTTATGTATTTAGGAACTTAATTTATGGGTTTTAATTGATTTTGATTTCTAATTTGGCTTCTTGGTTTCTAATGAATAATTCTATGCATACTAACAATCTTACTAAAATTATAAATGCTCAAATGTGTTTAACAAATTATTTTAGTTATCCGTTAGGGTATATCTTAGAAGGTATAAATGTTATGAGTTTGCATTTTGCCCCAGTTTTCTTGACAACACTCAGTATTAAAGTAGTCAAATTCATTGCATTTTAAGATATGTTAGTTTATTTGGTCACTGAATCATTTAGTGACATGGCTTCAGTGACCCTTTTTTTTTGGGTCGCTGATACTAATATAAACGTTGCTAAAAGTGTTTTTTTCTTGTAGTGACAATAGTAATTCGCATGCTTTGTGTGGGGACATAATTTTTGAATGACAACACGTGGCCAAGGTGACACCGAAGTGTCAGCCGACGTGTCACGTGTCTTGGTCATGACACCAAGGTGATCTCGGCTAGGCCGCGGTTATCTGCGAAGAAATCGGAATCCGGGATAAGCGGATAAGGGACAAGAGTCCTAGAATGGGAGAGGACTTCAGTTTGGATAAAGATAAAACTCTTAGAGAGTTTATCCCAATCCTACTGGGAGTCCAAGATTACACTAGAAAAGGGTACTTATTTAGCACAAAATGATTCATGATTTACCAAACTGATTACAGAGTGTGATGAAAGTATTGCAAGTATGTACATGCCTATACCTATATGTCGTGTTACTTCTATGTTGAATAACAGAACAAGCCTTTAACGGTTTTTATAGGTCAGTTTTATTTTTTATTTTTAAATTATTTTTTTGATATGCATTAGAAGTGTAGGTTTTTTTTTTTTTCATCTGTTGTTTCAATTGCTACCTTTATCATTAGACTATTGTTAATGCTAGCAGCTACTGCCATTGTGATGGCAGTACTATCTTTGCTTCTGTTGTTGTCGGCACCCATGCCATCATTTATTTTCCTCGATTGCTGTTAATTTGTTGTAACCAAGATTAGTCTATTAGATTGTTTTTTTATGCTAGATGGAGTATTCTACTTCTGGAGATAATTGTCCCAGCTCTATACAGTTTTTTGACAATGATTACTTGAACAAGCCTTCATACTATCAGAAACCAAAAGAAGTGGTAGTGACAATATTTGCAAAGGGTGTACTAGAAAAAAAATGTCTATGTCCAAGAAATGCAGAGAAAACACTACCAGTTTTGATTGATTTGTTTATTGTCTAGACATGAGAAGGAGGCTTAATAGTCAAATATATATAATAATAAATAAACAAATAAAAGGTAAAGTTGAATTTATTTATTTTTCTTTGAAAAGTTAAAGTTGATTCATATAGTCTGGTCATCGCAGAACTATGATTCTATATAGATTTTGGAAAAATTAAAGTAATTGAATCAATAATTTTTTTTATTTTATTTATGGTTGTCTTTTTAATTAGGTCCCATATATATATATATATATATATATATATCATTTTCTAAGGAAAATTGATGGTCTAATTTAATGAAGAAAAACTGATTTCATGTTTGTTTAGATAAGTTCATGATATGGGAAGATGGGTTAGATTTAGATATAGGTTGGGGTTTTGTCCATTTGAAGGTGGAATTGTTAATATAAATTTCATAGCTTGTTTTATGTATTTAGGAACTTAATTTATGGGTTTTAATTGATTTTGATTTCTAATTTGGCTTCTTGGTTTCTAATGAATAATTCTATGCATACTAACAATCTTACTAAAATTATAAATGCTCAAATGTGTTTAACAAATTATTTTAGCTATCCGTTAGGGTATATCTTAGAAGGTATAAATGCTATGAGTTTGCATTTTGCCCCAGTTTTCTTGACAACACTCAGTATTAAAGTAGTCAAATTCATTACATTTTAAGATATGTTAGTTTATTTGGTCACTGAATCATTTAGTGACATGGCTTCAGTGATCCTTTTTTTTTGGGTCGCTGATACTAATATAAACATTGCTAAAATTGTTTTTTTCTTGTAGTGACAATAGTAATTCGCATGCTTTGTGTGGGGACATAATTTTTGAATGACAACACGTGGCCAAGGTGACACCGAAGTGTCAGCCGACGTGTCACGTGTCTTGGTCATGACACCAAGGTGATCTCGGCTAGGCCGAGGTTATCTGCGAAGAAATCGGAATCCGGGATAAGCGGATAAGGGGCAAGAGTCCTAGAATGGGAGAGGACTTTAGTTTGGATAAAGATAAAACTCTTAGAGAGTTTATCCCAATCCTACTGGGAGTCCAAGATTAGCAGTAATCCTAAGTCCATTGATGCTAGGCTTCTATTGGGATTAGGTAAGTGTTGGCTATAAAAGAGAGGCACCCCCATGGGTCTAAGGTATGCTTTTTATGCTCTGAATAGTGAGTTAAGAACTTTTGTTATCTTTGAGAGATAACTGACTTGATCGTCAGAGTGCCCTCAAGTGGATGAACCACTGCAGAAATCTCTTCTTTTTGTGACAGGTCGTTCGGGCTTAATCTATTCTGTCAGTGTTCTCCAGCTGAGTGTTTGATTGGCAGTGTGGTCGGAAATTGACACACACACTTTGTAATATAGGATCATTTATTTTTATCACCAAATTAAGGTTTAATTTTAGGTTTGGATTATAGATGAATGTTTATGAATGTTTTGCACTTGTTAGAAATTGTTGGGCTTGTTTGAATTTTTTATGATTTTTTATGAATGTTTTTCACTTGTTAGAAATTGTTGGGTTTGTTTGAAATTTTTATGAATTTTTATGAGTGTTTTTTGAAATTGTTGGCCTCTCATAAATTTTTTTATGAATCATAGTCTCATAAATTCATTCCGTAATGTTTATAATGTTTCTTTTGACAGTTCCAATTCAATAATTAAGAAGAAGAATTGGAACTTGTGGATTGGTGCTAGAAAGAATGTGGTGAGGAGAGAAAATATAGAGGCCGCCGTAAGGAGGGTGATGGACGGCGATGATGGTGACAGAGAAGGCTAAAGTGCTGGAAGAGATGGCATTGAAAGCTGTTAAAGAAGGTGGATCATCTCATAGAAATTTGACGGTGTTGATTGAAGAGTTTGAGCAACTAAAAGATCAAAGGGCTAATGACGTTTGAGGGTTATTCCATTGTCTATGTTTCTGTTCTTCACTGCTTATTACATTTTATTGAAATAAGGCATTCGAATGGCTTTTAATAGTTAAATTTTGTATATGGTTGGAAATTGAATGCTACAGGTTGTAGAGAAATATTTTTATTGAATGGTTGAGAATTGAATGAATGAATGAATGGATGAATAATTTTGTATATGCACAGGTTTCAGGTAGCGCAAAAAATATTACAGAACAAATTATAAAAACTAAATGAGGCATTTTGGCGACTAAACAAATATCACAAGTTGGCTTTTGGCTATTCAAATTTTAGTTGCCAATTGTGAAAAAGTGAAACTTTTGACTATTAAATGTTTGGTCGCCAATTCTCAAAAAGTGAAACTTTTGGCTACCAAAAATTTAGTCGCCAAGCATATGTGCTCAACTGGCTACTAAATAATTTAGTCGCTAAAAGTAAAAATCTATATATTTAATTATTTTAAAAAAATATATGGTGACTACAGTTTTAGTTGCCAATAGGTCATTTTTGGCTACCAAAAAAATTTTAGTCGCCAATTATTTTCTCGACTCTATTGGCGACCAAACGGGCGACCAAATATATTAGTTGGAAAAAGTGATTGGCGACTAAAAAATAGGCTTTTGGCGACTAAAATTTTAGTCGCCAAAAGTGAAATTTCTTGTAGTGACAATTCTGACTATTAAAAATTTAATGGGACTTGAAAGTCCAAAAAATCTTAGTTAGGACTTAATGGAGTATAAGTTCATAATTAGGACTTGTGTGTAAAATGTCCCATTAATTTATTTGGTCAAGGTAAAAGTAAGTTAAATAAATTGAAATGAATTGATTATTGAAAAATGAGAGAAATGATACATGTAAATCTTATTTTCTGAATTTCAAATTTTGACTTACAAAAGTTACACAAAATATGCACATTGTCTTCATGAAGTTGTTTTCTTTTCATTCTTCCACCCTAATATTACTTGGCTTGGTATTTGGCCTAAAACCTCTTTTTTCAAGCTTTTTCTAAATATATGAAGCAAACTGTTATGAGGAGCTCTTCTACACCACTTTACCCTATTATTCTCATTTTGATTATGGTTTTTTTTATATCGACAAAAAGAGATTTTATTGATGAAATTCAATGTACAAAGGACATAGATGAAGGAAGAGTGAGCGTACAATACATTAAAATGAGACAAAACAATCTCAACTAGATTGACATTGCGAAGCAAGCCTGCAAGCATAACACCAAAGGCTAGTGAGAAACCAACCACGACACCAAAGAGAAAAAGAAAAATAAAAACACAAACACTGCAACCCTAGCAACAATACACAAAACAATCACAGTCATTGAGACCAATTGTGATGCCCTAGCAACAATACACTACACCATACTTTACAAACAAGCACCCTAACTCAAAGACAAAAAAACTAACAGCTGCAGCACTTCGCATAATAGACTAGGCACACATGTAGTCTTGCAAGGAGTCTCTATTACCTTCAAATTCAATGCCAAGTTCTTTTGTTGCTTTGAGGGCTTTAGTTGGTTGGTCTTTGGCAGCCCTAGTTCCAACAAGGATAAGTGCCCTTTCATGTTTCATCTCTTTATATTTTTTCATATTTTTTTTTATTGGTTTTAATTCGAACCCATACTAATAATTTGAATCGTTTATCTCGTAGGCCTTGTAATGAAGTTCATCCATGAAAAAAATTATCTTAATCAGATAACTATAAACATGAGAACAAATTGCATTTTGTTTTATAAAAATATGGTTTAAATTTAATTATATATACCATTTGTGGGGATATATTTTCTGAGTACCAACACGTGGCCAAGGTGACACCGACGTGTCAGCCGAGGTGCCACGTGTCCTGGTCATAACGCCGAGGTTATCTCGGCGTGGCCGAGGTAATCTCCGAGGATATCAGATCCGAGATGAGCGGATAAGGCACAAGAGTCCTAGAATGATGAGGAAACTTAGCCTGGATAAGGATAACACTCTTAGGGAGTTTATCTTTATCTATTAGAGAGTCCAGGATAAGCACTGAGCAGAAGTCCATTGAAGCTAGGCTTCTATGGGGACTAGGATTGAGGTAACTATAAAAGAAAGGCACCCCTGATGGGTCTAAGGTACGCAATTTATATTTTGAACAGTGAGATTAGCACTATTGATTATCTTTGAGAGATATACTGACTTGATTGTCGGAGTGCCCCCGGGTGGAAAAACCACCGTCGGAATCTTCTCTTTCTGTTGCAGGTCAGCCAGGTGTCATCTATTCTGCAAGTACTCTCTAGCTGAATACTAAGTTGGCAGTGTGATCGAAAAATCACTCACATAATTTGGCGTCGTTTGTGGAAAAGAAAGAAGAATAGATGGCCAGTGATGGACAGAAGGATAAGGTTAGGGACGAAATCCCTGCTGGGAGTGGGAAACACGTTAACCCAAACGTGGAAGAAGATGGTCGCAATGAGGAGACTCAGAACCAGAATCACAGAAAGAAAGACGTCGGCCAGGATGGCGACGTGCCAAAGAAACTAGATCGAAGCGGATACTACAACGAGGACGACCTCCAGGTATGAAAGGATAGATGCCTGCGGAGGGACAAAGAGGTGAAAGATATGGTAAATAAGTTGGCAAACTTGCAATCGGTCGTCAATTTTATGATGCAAAGTAATGTCATGTAGCCACCATACCCGTTGTAGGACACGCCGATTCCAGCGGCCAATACCAGAAGGGGGGGCAGAAGCCAATCCCAATAGCCCCTCAGCACACCAAAAGCGAAAAACACTCTCACCGGCCTTCCAGGGAGGTCGGGTGAGGAGAGTCGAGGAAAGAAGAGTCACGAAGGACATATCGAACTAAAGAAGCAGACCCCAAAGAACATCGGCATGTTCAAAGACAGGAGCTGTGCTTCGACACAACTCATGGAGAAAGGTCGAAAAGAGCCCACAACGAAGCTGAGAGTAGTATGCCGAAAAGACTGAAGTCGGGAGATAGCCGAGCTCCTAGGTGGAGTAAGGAAGACCTGAGAAATTACCTCAAGAGGAAACAACATAATGCCAATGCCAAAGTAACTTCACTTATTAAGCCGAGAACACCATTCTCGGTAGAATTGGACAAATTTGAGGTGCGAAAGAGATTCAGTATGCCGAGATTCCAAATATACGATGGTAAGTCAGACCCGAACTTCCACGTTGGATTATACTTGAACTCAATGGCATTATATAGTGGGAACGAGCCATTGTTCTGCAAAGTGTTCCCCTCATCCTTCGGGGAGATGCATCAAATTGGTTTCACAAACTACCGAAGGGAAGTGTGAAGGCCTGGAAAGGCCTGGCCGAGATGTTTGTGGCCAGGTTCGTGACAAACAAGCTGCAGCCATTAAGGGTGGATGCATTGATGGCTCCGAAGATCAGTAAGGATAAAGGCCTTAGGGCCTATGCAAAAAGGTACTATGAGGTGTTCAACCGAATACCGAAGTATAATCAAGAGGTGGCGGTCGTATCTTTCAAGAACGGCCTAAAAGACGACTGTCCACTACGAAAATCTTTGGCAAAGACATTGCCAAAAAGTATGGAAGAGCTAATGACGAGAATCGAGAAGTATGCCAGAGCCGAGGAAGATACATCGGAGACTAAGGAGGCAAAGCAAGAAAAATGAAACGGCTCGCCGAAGTGAGGCCGAGGTAACAATGGATCCAGCAAGCAAGAAATAGGACTAAGGGCTACACAGGCAGTTACGACTGTGTTTCGAATCCCAATTCACAAAGCCCTGGACAAAATTCAAAACTAACCCTATTTCAGAGCACCAGCAAGGGCACTAGGCCAGGAGAGTTTATGAGAAGAAACCTCGGCAGACATTGTGCTTACCACAATGAAGATGGACACATAACTCAGGGTTATAGAGCCCTGAAAACACACTTAGAAAACCTGGTGAGGCAAGGCCATCTGAGAGACCTTGTCGATGAGGCCAGAACAAGGGAAGAACATGCAAGATTGCCTCAAGCGACAATAGCTCCACCTCCCCCAGCACAGCAACCTCAAGCAGGAGGACCTCGGGTAATTAACGTAATTCACTCGAAGGTTAGAGAAAATGAGATTCGGGAGGAGACCCAGAAGGTAAAACACCTACAGCATGTCTACCAAGTCGGAGAGAAGAGACATCGGGTAAAAGAGTGCCAAGGACCAGTAGTGTCCTTCACTGAAGCCGACCTTGAGATGGTACAACATCCGCATAACGATGCCATGGTAGAATCCCTCCAGGTTGGGGAATGCCAAGTGAAACGTATCTTAATCGACCAAGGAAGCTCTTGTGACATTATGTACGTAAGATGTTACAAGAAGCCTGGCCTTCACCCAGACGATATGGAGTAATCCAATAGCCCAATGGTTGGATTCAATGGAACGCCGACATGGCCACTAGGAACGACGAGCTTGGAGTTGCAAGCTGGCACCAAGAAGATAAAGACAGAGTTTACCGTAATCGACACGCCCTCCCCTTACAATATCATCCTAGGAAGGCTATGGTTGCATGCAATAAGGGTTGTTCCCTCAACATTGCATCAACTATTGCGGTTCCTAACAGAGCATGGGATTGAGGAGGTCAGAGGAGATCAGCTGCAAGCAAAGAATTGCTCCATGGCAGCAATGAAATCCACCTGCAGCATAAGAGAACCAGAGAAGGCAGAGATCGAAGACGAAGACGTGGAGGTCTTAGAGGATGTCGGTAAGGAGCCAGCCGAGAAGAGTAAAGAAGCACTGAAGAAAATCCTCGTCCAGGAGGGGGATGAAGAACGCTTCTTTCTTCTTGGCTCGAGCTTAGCCGAAGAAGAAGAAAGAGAGTTGGAAGCTTTCTTGAGAGCAAATATTGAGGTGTTTGCTTGGATGCCTTACGAGATGCCTGGCATTGACCCCGAGGTCACTTGCCATAAATTGAATGTTGATAAATCGGCAAAACCCGTAATCTAACGAGTAAGAAGACTGACGTTGATACACGTAGAAGCAGTGGAAGAGGAAGTTGACAGACTTTTGGAGGCTAGGGCCATTCGAGAGGTAAATTACCCGGCATGGCTATCAAACATAGTGGTGGTTAAGAAAAAGAATAGTAAATGGAGGGTTTGCGTGGACTTTACCAGCCTGAACAAGGCCTGTCCCAAAGACAGTTTTCCTCTATCCAAGATTGACCAACTGGTAG